CCTTTAAAGACAAAGTAGAGTCATCTAAGGGGCAATTTAGTCATTTCAAAAAAGTGGCAATGAGGTAAATTAAAAGGGACACGTGTCGACTTCTTAAGGGCAATAAATGAGACACGTGTCGCCATTCGAAGCCCTCAAACTCCTTCATATATATATAACAGAGATTTATATTTTTATAAAATGTATTTAAATTTTCAACTACTTTTTCTCATTAATTTTATATTTTAAGAAAAAAATTAGCAAACACCCGTGTAATACACGGGCGTTGTACTAGTCTATATATGAAGGAGTTAGACCAATTCAAATGGCGACACGTGTCTGTTTTTATGGTCTTCTTACCGCGACACATGTCCTTCTTGCTACCATCAATAAAAAAATTGTTGGATTTGGGAAATAAAACCCTAGAATCCTCACACAGTCCGTCATTCGACTCATTCCCCTTTTATGTTCCACAAAAACCCTAGCACTCACCATTGTTGCACCGTCCCAAAAGCCATAAAATTAAGGTTAAAAAATACTCGTCGTCGTCCTAGATAGGCGGCGATGCAAGTGGATCAAACGGCAGAGTCGGCGAAGCAAGTGACGTTAGGGTCACGGAGGCGGATACTGCTAACGACGACGGAGATGTCTACTGTGACCCGACAAGATGAGGATTGAGCGACCCTGCAGCTGACGTCCCTTGAAGTACTCAGCAACGCAATCGAAAGATGGGTGGGGCGTGCTCTTTAGCTGGTTGTCAGAGCCCGACTACATCAACGACAGGTCAAAATCAAGGCCGGCTGAAGGAGTTCGTGAGGTTTTTGCCGAGGGGAAATCTTATAATCGTCGGAAGCCCGATCATATTCAACGGAATCTTAAACCTCTTTACCATTTTTTGACAGCTCTGTTCACGACCAGGCTTCAAGGAAAGGAAGGCGGCGACGCAGGAGGATCGAACGGTGGAATCAGCAGAGCAGACGGCTCCACTACCTATCGGAAAACACCTTGTGAAGAAGCTCAGCCGACAGCGATGGATGGCTGAGGCGGCCAGGGTCATGCTTTCCGGGTATCATGTAAGAAACAAAGACTAGATTTTTTTTCCCATACTTTGTTTTCTATTTTCAATTTAAATGTGATTTTCTTGTTCTTGTGGTTTTATTGATAATTGTAAGGACACCCTTAGGGTATTTCATTGTTCTTCTGTTTCAACCCACTTCAGTCCACCGCCACAAAAACCCTAATGATCATGCCAATCAACCTCTCTATTCTGAGATCATTTTTGCGCAAGGTTTCTCTGATTTTGATTAGGCATTTATATCCTTTGTACAGAGATCTCCACTAGACAAAAACGCCTTATTCTCTAGCTAATACCCGATCCTTTTTAGCAGGACCCAATTTGTACCCAGAACCATGAACAACGCCTACGTCTGGTAGCAGATAACAGATGGTTCTCTTTATCTTCTAGAAAGTGGAGGAGAAGGCCAACGAGATCTCTGTCTCCGCTAAAGAGGTTTGTGTTTTCCAGCCCCTTCCTGTGATTTACATTTTTTTGCTTCTTTTCTTCTCTTTCTTTCTTTTTTCTTTTTCTTTTTTTTTTTGGGTTTCTCAATTTTAGTGTGATCATTAATTATGATTATTGTTGATGTTTTGGTGCAGGAATTCAATATAGAGAAGTTACAGCTGGTCGAGGCGGAGAAGAAGGATATAGGCAGGAATACGAGCGCAAGAAGGAGCAAGTCCACGTCCACAAGAAAATGTAAAGTTTATGAATTTATGGTTTTCTACATTGTCATGTCTTTTGTGTTGAGTCTTTCCACCTGAAACTTTGTTGCTGTTTTATATGATGTGTAATTGTGGATTAAATAGAAGAAGAAAATAATCCATATTAACGTGGGGATCTCAATGTAGATTCATGAGTGGTTTTACTAATTGTGCCGTGAACTTTTGTATTATTCAATTACATTGGGAGATCTGAGTTTGAAAGAAGAAATAACGCGTTCCAAAGTCCTTTTTACTGTATTTGCACATTTTTTGGGATTTATTATCTTCTGATTGAAAATTTTTATATTCACGCAAACTTTGTTTTGATTGCCTAGATGGTGAAAAGGAGAGGCCAGAAGATAGTTTTCATTTGGGTTTACAAAGCAACCTGAAAATAGGAGGCTCGGGTGGATTGGAATGTATGGTGCTTAAATACGGTTCCGGTTTATTGGGTCCTTATACATGCCCATTGCTGGAATCGGGTTCATCGTTGGACTTTAAACGACAGACTTCCGCTAAGGTTTGTTTCATCTCTTTTTACTTGATTGCTTAAAGTCCTGACCTGCAAATTTGTTAACAACTACGCTCTTGCCATTTGGTTTTTCTTTACTTTTCTATTTTTTTGTTTTAAATTATATTTTCTGTTCTTTAATAATTTGTTAAAGGAAGCAAAGTTTCACGCATTGTGATCCAAAAAATATGAAGTTCACAAAATAATGCAGGTGACATTAATGTTTTTACCAGTGTTCTAAAAACTGGACCGGACCGACTGGTTCGACCGGGAACCAGACATGTCAGTGGTCCAGTCAGAGGAGTTAAGAGTATGCTTGTTTATAAATTTTTTTGATTTTGATTGGGTTTTTGGTTTGGGTTGGTTAAATTTGAAAAAGTTGGTATAGTTAATTATTAGTGGGTATATTAAAATAATTTTTAAAATAAAATGATTAAAATTAAATTGATGTAAAAGTAGGAGAGAGAAGATGTGATGTGATGGTTAGTTAAAATTATGTGAGTAAATGAATAGTAAATTAAGATTGATGTTGTGTGTAAGAATGATTGATATTATTTAATTATATTGATAATATTGATGATAGTGGGTTGATTGATTGATATTATTTAATTATATTGATGATAGTGGGTTGAGTTAAAGTAAGTCCTGACCTGCAAATTTGTTAACAACTACGCTCTTGCCATTTGGTTTTTCTTTACTTTTCTATTTTTTGTTTTAAATTATATTTTCTGTTCTTTAATAATTTGTTAAAGGAAGCAAAGTTTCACGCATTGTGATCCAAAAAATATGAAGCTCACAAAATTATGCAGGTGACATTAATGTTTTTACCAGTGTTCTAAAAACCGGACCGGACCGACCGGTTGGACCGGTTCACCGGGAACCGGACATGTCAGTGGTCCAGTCAGAGGAGTTAAGAGTATGCTTGTTTATAAATTTTTTTGATTTTGATTGAGTTTTTGGTTTGGGTTGGTTAAATTTGAAAAAGTTGGTATAGTTAATTATTAGTGGGTATATTAAAATAAAATGATTAAAATTAAATTGATGTAAAAGTAGGAGAGAGAAGATGTGATGGTTAGTTAAAATTATGTGAGTAAATGAATAGTAAATTAAGATTGATGTTGTGTGTAAGAATGATTGATATTATTTAATTATATTGATGATAGTGAGTTGATTGATTGGTATTATTTAATTATATTGATGATAGTGGGTTGAGTTAAAGTTGAGTTAAAAATAGAGAAAATTACCCCGTGGACGAGATGACATTTTTAAAAGTACATAACTACGATATTTAATTTTTAATGCCATAGAAATAAAGTAGTTTTTTAATTTTTTCTTCTCTCTTCATGATCCTCTTTCTTTCTTTCCGTTCTTTTTCCTTCTTCTTCATCCCTTAATTGTCCTCTTTTCGTTTTTCTAAATCCATATCCACACCTTCAATTTCTCTTATCTTTTTCTTCTAATTCTACCATCTCTTCACCTTTCAAATTCATCCTTTTTTTCTAAAGAACCCTAGTGAAAGCAAAACCCCTAAATTTCATCACAAATCAATTAAATCCGATGTTATTTCCCAACGTCTCGATTGGAACCCTATTGCATCCTCAGCGCCATTGGAACCTTCGACAACGTCTCAATTGAGATCCTCTCCTTCTCCAGCCTTCGGCGCCACCCGACCCTTGAGGCTCAGAGTGTAACTCACAAGGTGCGGTTTACTAAATCTGAATCTTAATGTGTGGTTTACTGATTAGGGTTTAGTAAATTTTAATTTTCCTTTTCTTTTTTGTTGTGGAGGTTCATTGATGGATCTTTTAAATCTATTTGTTGCTTGATTTAAGATCTGAAAAATTGATGGTACAATTCCAGCGGGCCGAGGCAGAGAAATAATCTGGCGGCTTTTGTGAAGATTAGTACTCCGGCTGTTGATGAAAAAAGATGGGGCACCGAATTCATGAGGCGGGTGTTGATTAAAATTTTGTTTTAAAAAGATGAACACCAACATCTGATCGGTGGCGTTGTTTCATAAATAATCATGAAAATTGATTAAAAATTTTGTTTATGTGTAATTTGGTTATGTTTATTAATTGGTTATTTTTTAGTTTATCTGTAGTTTATATTCAATTTATTTTTGCTTTATTTGTAGTTTATCTGTAGTTTATTTTTGGTTTATCTGCACCGACCTTGCGGATTCCACCGCTGGAATTATATTTTTACTATTTTAGTATGTTTGTTCATATATCTGATGTAAACTAAGAAGATTCAATGTTGAGTTTGTTTTAGTATGTAATATTTGTATTTTAGTGTGTAATATATTTGTATCGTAAATTTGATGTTTATCGATACACTATGGTAATTTTTTTTTTTTTTTTCTTATTTGTAGTTTATTTTCAGTTTTATTTTGTATAAGGTGTATATCTTTTTTTTCTTAATTTAATAAAAATAATAATAAACTTAAGATAAACTGTAAGGATAATGTAATAAACAAACATAAACAAAAAATATTTTAAGAAAAGTTCACATAGTCAATTTTGTATAAGGATTTATTGTATATTTGTTTTTTTCTTAATTTAATGAAAAATTGAATAATAAACTTAAAATAAACTGTAGGGATAATTTAATAGCCCTAAAATAAACTAAAAATAATCTAAGAAAAGTTCGTAGATTTAGTTTTATTTTGTATAAGGATTTATTATTTTGTATTTTTTTCTTAATTTAATAAAAAATTGAAAATAAACTTAAAATAAACTGTAGGGACAATGTATTTGGAGAAAAAAATTACTCTAAGTGGCAGATAATAAAATTATATAGAATATAAAATACTAATTGGGATTGGAGAGAGAGAGAGAATGAAATTTCATTAGAATGGTAAATCTAAATTCTAGACTCCTATGTGTATATTGGATGACTTTCATAAAGTGATACTCCCGTATTCCACAAACTGACATTTCCGTTATTGTGACATTAATTTTTCTCAAAATCTTTAATATGGAATTACTTTTCAAGTTTCATTGTTATGTTAATTTTTTTTGTATGTCTCGTATTTATGTATTGAAGCCAAATTTTTTCCCATCCGACGGTAGGCGGACTGGATTAAGAAAATTCACATGGGCAATAGATTTAAGCCCAACAAGAGATGGGCCGAGCCAGAATTGGATAATAGCTACAACAAAATACAAATAACGCAAACAAAAAAAGTTTATATATATAAACTTGATAAAATCACATCAAATTCTTGTAGAAAAATCTTCTCCTCAGTCACTTCTCTCTATTTCTTCGAGCCGCCGGCTGCTCAAGCTTCAGACAGGAAGTGATTTTCATGCCCAATCAGAGTTGTTTTGGTCGAGGTATACGCTCTGTTAAGCTTCTAGGGTTTTAGGGGCTTTCTCGTTTTCTTTCCATTTTTTTGAACTGTTGTTCATCCTATGTCTTTTTTTTTTCATGAATTTCCTCGCTTGCTTGCTTGCCTTCTCACATTCTTCAAATTTGGTATTAGTCTATGTTTATCGGAGACCGATGTCGAACTGCGAATGTGGGTTTTTGATTTATGAGTTGTTAGAATTGTACCTTTAGAAGAATTAATCTTGGTTCTACATGTTTTTCGTGTATATCTCACCGGTGGAGCACGAAAGGCGTAACGATCTGGGCACTGTCTCGGAGAGAGGCTCAGGTGAAATAGACATGTCTGTGAAGACAATAGAAGTATTTAAACTTTCCCCACCTTTAGAAGAATTAATCTTGGGTGACTTCCCTATTGTAATGCATTTTTTAGCATTTGAATTGTTGCTCAAAACCGGTGGCTGTTTTTTTTTTCCTTAAATTGAAAGATGACATTTTCGCCTGGGAGATTCATTTATGGATTGCGATTTCTTTCAATTGATCTGAATTTATAAGAGAAACTTACTGGTAGATAGTGTTCATATGGCCATTCCTGTACTTCTGGCTCTTGACTTTTGTTTTATCTCTAATGGTTTGAGTGGGATCCATTAGATTTTTCAGCTATTGCAACATTTTTAATAGTAGAAAGGATAAATATTCCTCCAATTGTATGTGCTACCGAGTTTTCTCTTCGGCAAAACTTGGTTACTAATTATAAGTTTCTCACTTAAATTATATTCTCTCAATGGGAATTTTGAATGCATGGATTTTACACACATTCTTCTAGCATTTGTTTGAGTAAGTTCAATCACTATATCTTAGGCGCAGTCCACCCATTGTCAGTTTGTGCTGTGGCTTAGAATATTTCAAGAGTTGCCAATTAAGTTTTTCTGTAGCAACTAACAATGTTAGATTTTAGAAAAAATAATCTTCAGTGATTTGGAAGGATATCATCTATCCATGTTGGGTGTTGTTTCCTGCAGAACCCTTCACCCCTTCTTCAATGAAGCAGTCCGTTTTTTCTCTGTTGGTTCATTTTTTATTTTTTATTTTATTTTTTCAAATAATAAGGTTTTTAGTTTTTGTTTTTGTTCTTTTTTTTTTTTTTTGGTATAGTATCAGCTCAGGCTTTAGGCTTGTTTAAGTTACATTAACTTCATGAGCCTATTGTTTTATTCAACCTTTTGTATGCTTTATTGATGCTTTATTGGTGAAGCATGTGTCATCTGTTGGATTCTTGCTTTCAGCTTTGGTTGCTCTAGTTTCTATTTACCCTTAATTGTTATGCATTCCATGCCTTTATTTCACTTGCTTATTCCATGGGAGCTTACACATTTATTGGCGATATTTTTCCAAGAAGCACGACTTCATGTTCATTTGATACTATAGGCAAGCTTAGAAGAAGTGAAGCATTTTAATTACTATCATTTTCTTTATTCTTGTGAATGTATATATGGTTTAGATTAGAGCATCAACTAGTGGAGTATTGTAATCCTGTAGACCTTGCACGCTGATTTATTTCCGTTCTTTAGTTTGCTCCTAGTCTAATGTATTTCTCTGCACATTGTACCCTTTAACATAATCAATATAATTAGTTCACACTCTACAATTATTAATTTTTTATGTCTCATTGTTGTCTTAACTCTCCGACCAGAATGATGAAGAAGCTAAAGAACCCATTAGTTTACTTGGATGTTTCAGTAGATGGAGGTACTGCTGACAGAATTGAAATCGAGGTAATTATGTCATCCAAACCTTCAAATGGGTTGAACATAGAGACTTGTTTTCTAACACGTTTTAAACTTTTCATTGCTCTAATTGAATTCCTGTGTTATGCAGTTGTTTGCTGATGCGGTTCCTAAGACAGCTGAAAATTTTCGGGCTCTCTGCACAGGTATATTAAATAACCATATATTTATTTTGTTTGGGAATATCAAATTCTAGCTCCTGAAGATTCAATTATAGGACTCTTGTTTTGGATGTTTTGTATAGTCCCGAGAGGTATACTTCGGCATGTTGCACTGCATGGCTGGAAAAATGTTTTCACCTCCTGTTAAACCATTGCATTTCCATGGTTCCCAGAATTAACTGGATTTAACTGGAGAAGTCATTTCTGGGGAATATCTCCAAACTCCTGGGTCTTAAAACGATATTTTCTTCTGATATCCCTGTATAAGATTTTTTACTTCTGCCAGTTTTGAGTAGCTCAAATGTACTTCTTGTATCTCTGTATAAGATTTTTTTTTTTTTTTTTTTTGAATATTTCCGAACTAGGTTGTGTGCAGTATAAGTTTCTTGCTCCTCCATGTATGCTTTCTATTCAATTAGGAGTTTTTCCTTGCTGCTCATAGTTTCGATGTCTCAGGAAATCCCATTCTGGTGCCCATCTTTTAATACTTTTACTGATGTTATCTTTGATCTGACCCAAACTCTCTTTCTCTCTCTATTCTCAACCCCATGAACATCCTTGGCTCCATCCCCTTTATGGTTTTCTTGGCTGACTTGCTGCAGAAAAGTGTAAATTGAAAGCTATGTTTGGACTTTATAATGGGCTCTTGCTTCTACTTTGACTTTTATGGTTTTTAATTGTTTATTAGGCTTATCATGTATGGAGTATATCCCATTGGAAAAACTTTTTGGTTGTGCAATCTCTTTTTCGGTGGTAATGAATAGTTGTTTGCAGGTGAGAAGGGTGTTGGAGCCACAACAGGGAAGCCTTTGCACTATAAGGGCACAGTGTTTCATCGGATCATAAAAGGATTTATGGCTCAAGTATGTTTACATTTGCTTATTAAATAATTGCTATTGGGGAGGATAAAGAATGTAATTATTACTGTTTCCTGATGTTTCGTGCAGTGTGTTGTTCTGATATGTATTGTCTGTCTAAGCTTATCCATTATATGAACAGTATATAAAGAGCTTTTATAACTTTTTACTTCACATATGAATACAAATCGATACTTTGGAATGCCTAATCTGTTTTTTGTTCTTCTTTCTTCTTCTGAAGGGCGGTGACTTCTCGAAAGGAGATGGTATACTTTTCTTTAGTTAAATAAAGCTATTGGATACAAAATTCATCTCCTGTTTAAGACGAGTAAAGCACATTTTTGTAATGATTTGCAGGTACTGGTGGAGAAAGTATTTATGGAGGCAAATTCCGTGGTAAGCTTCCTGCCACACTCACGCCCTTGCTCATTACTTGTGCTAATTTGTGGACGTAATATTTTTTTTTTTATTTTTTTATTTATTATTATTATTTTTTTTTTCTGAATATTACAGATGAAAATTTCAAGTTGGGTCATAAAGAGCCTGGTCTTCTGTCTATGGCTAATAGTGGTCCAAACACAAATGGATCTCAGTTCTTTATTACTTTTAAGCAGCAGCATCATCTGGATGGGTATATTTTACACAAAGTTTGTTAAATGCCGTGTACTTGATTCACATGTCGAATTTAATTCAGTCCAGCAAGATATCTTCCTGCTTCTCTCATCCCCACCCTCCTTTCCCCCTTATCTTGCAGAAAACACGTTGTGTTTGGAAAGGTTGTGAATGGAATGGATGTTATCAAGAAAATGGAACAGTTAGGATCATCTGGTGGAAAACCATCCGGGTTCGTAAAAATTGTTGATTGCGGTGAGATGTCCAAAACCGATGCACAAAATGCAGTCGAGGTCGATGAAGGTGTGCTGTAATTGTGAGAATGAAACAGGTCCCATTTTCTTCATCTTCATCTAATTTCATTCTGACATTTCTTCCCATGATGTGGTTCCAGAGAAAAAGAAAAAACCAACAAGTTCGGATGGTCAGGCAAAAGGGAAGAAGAAAGTACCTGTCAAGACTAAGAGGAGAAAGAGAAGCTACTCTTCATCTGATTCCTACAGCTCTAGCTCTGACTCCTACTCTGATTCGGACTCAGACTTAGACTCGTTAAGAACTGAGTCACACTCGGATTCTGATTCGGATACCGATTCATATTCTTCGACTTCATCCAGTGATGGACGCCGAAGGAAGAGAAGGAAATTGGTAAAGAGAGGAAGACATCAGCATGGGAAAAGGAAGCAAAGAGAGCGTCGTAGTAGAAGACCAAGACGGAAGTCTAAAAGGTCTATGTCTAAAAGGTCTTTCTCCATAGTTTCATTACACTTTATTCCTTTCCGTGTTGTTTTTGTCGAGCAAGTATGTGGTCATACTAAGGCATGCAATTCTCTTGGATAAATTCTTTTTTCTATCCTATAGATTTTTGACAAAGTACAATGACTTGGCGATAATTCTAATTAGACTGTTGTTGCACCTCCTGATTTTATTGGAACCAACATTATTGGTAAAACATGTCTGGGGACTTTTACGTGCGTTAAGTTCTTACTGTATATTCTTTTAATTTGAACTCTTAGGAGCTCGCGGAGTTCTAGTGATACTGATAGCAGTGACAGTGATAGTAGCAGAACTTCTGGTGATGAAAATGTGCGTAGAGGCAAATCTTCACGAAAAATAAAGGCATCAAGCGATGGCAGTGATAGTAGCAGAACTTCTGATGATGAAAATGTGCGTAGAGGCCAATCTTCACGGAAAACAAACGCATTAAGCAAAGAAGAAAAAAAATCTGCTCAAACTCTTGGTATTTATTTATTCCTTTTACGCTCCGACTTGTAGATATACATGTTACACTGAGTTGAACTACTCTATATCTGAAATTGTCTTTGATAACTATTGTAAATGTGAAGGGAATGCGAAAAAGTCACCGGTTCCTCCCGTAGGATCCATCGAGCAGAAAAAACACAATGATAAGAAAAAAAGCGGGGATGACTCGTCTCATGAAGAGGGTGAATTTTCTCGAAAGAATGATAAACATGTGAATAACAACAAGGAGGACCTTATCAACAATAGTCAAACTGGTATTGGATTGCGTCAATCTGATAATTCAGGCCGATCCAGGTACTTCCCAAGTGATTTGCATTATCTTTTATCTTTTCTATTCCCTGCCTTAAAAATTATTTCCGACTTTTATAAGTACGAATCTCTGTTTAATCACTATCATCATTTTCCATGCATCAACAATATGAAATAACATATATTATGGTCATGAACTTGTATTTTATCTTATTGTTAGATTTTATCACTAAGGGTGCACAATATTACTTCACTAGAGTCGGTATTTTAAATACTGGATCGGTAGCATGCCGACCTAGTATATTGCCGGTATTACTGGAGTAGCAAATATCATAATATACATAAATTTTCAGATCATATTTGAAAAAAAAAATAAAAGTCAGTGTGTTCATTAAGTCCCAACTTCTCAATAAGATAAAAATAAAGCTACAAATCTCATGTTTTAATTTTAAGTTGATGATTAATTTCTTTTTAAAAAAAATGCTGGGCAGTGTACGGTATATTAATCATCGGGTAAAGTATCGCATTCTTATCTTTGACTATCAGGAGCCCAACACCAAGCCGAAGTCCTAGGTATCGAGAGAATAATAAGAAACCATCTGGTCAGCAAGGCACAAGACATCCTTCTACGAGCCCTGCAAGAAAAGCTCCTCCTCAACCTTCTACTTCTAATCATGGCAGAGAGTTATCCCGAAGCCGCTCGCCAGGTGGAACCACAAAACGCGTTAGGAAAGGCAGAGGCTTCACTGAAAGATATGCCTTTGTTAGAAAATATCGCACACCGTCTCCAGAACGTTCTCCCGATAGATCCTATCGTTATGGTGGAAGATATAACCAAAGGAACAACGACAGGTAAATTTGTACTTGAAAAGTATCTCTTTTGTACGTAAACCTTTCTTTTTTCTTCCTTTCTTATTCCTTTTCTTTTCCCCCTTATTTTGATACTTACAACCTGGGTGTTCCAAGCAGTCATTTTTTGTTTGGAGCAATTTTTGATCAGCTGAAATCAAATGAGTGAAATGTATTATTGTGGGATGTTTAAGTTTCACAATGGATTAATTTAATTTGTTTTCATGTTTCCAAACAATTATATCTCGAATATTTAGCCAATTTAATGACTGTCTTAAGGTATTCAAGCTACAGAAGTACATATGAACACTCACGACATTACCGAAGTTCGCCTAGGAGAGGAAGGAGCCCGCCAAGGTATAGTCTTTTTGCCCCTTTCTTTGTTTCTTGATGTTATCAGTTATCACTCTTCTCATGCCTGTCTTGTTTAATTTAGTAGAGATTACACTCAATGTATCGTCTAATTTAGAAAGAAAAGAATGCCTTTTAAAATTTCAAGTACCCTCCTTATTGCAAGCACTCTCTTGAGTTTCGAGTACAATTTCGTTCACCCCCCTCTAATGGGTGTGTTTCCTACTTTCTTTTTTTGTGGAAGCTGCAAGTAGGACCCACCCCTATTAGGGCCGTAGTGTTGTTAAATCAAATGAGCCGAGCTTGAGCTCATTTAGTGCTCGTATGTTAGCTCGGCTCGATAAGGCTCGAAAAGAGAACTTTTATATAATTTTTTATAGTTCGACTCGTTAAAACTCGAGATCGGCTCGAGCTCGAGCTCGATTTCTGGCTCGGGCTTGTGCTCGAGCTCGGGTCGAATCGTTTACAAGTCTAATTAGGGGGACCGCAAAACATATAACCTCGAGAAAAGTGCCATGTATAAAATAGGAACTACTATAACCAAATGTGGAAGCAACTTATAATCTTGAAGCTTGAAGGATAGTTGTTTTTAAATAACCTTTACGTTTATAGACCGTATCTTTGTTTCAAATTCATCAACCTTATGATGGTGTTTAGGTACGAGCGCAAAAGAAGTAGAAGTAGGTCCACTTCACGAAGCCCTGGTCCCTACCGTAGCCGCCGGCGCCCCACAAGAAGTCCGGTTCGCAGCCCAAGCCCAGCCGACAGGCGTCCAGTTCTTAGCGACCGACTGAAATCGCGTTTGGGCCCGCGGAAGGATGATCGGCCCATTTCACGATCGAGGAGCCGTAGTCCGGCCCGATCTAGATCCAGTAGTGATATGGGTCCAAAAAAGCGAGTGGGAAAAGCTTCGTCTCGTTCGCCTGTAAGTCCACGATCGAGCCCTTCAGGTGGTGGACAACGGGGCTTAGTGTCGTACGAGGATGTCAGTCCACATAATGGGGTGAATTAGTTACTTTCAAGTTGTTTGTTGATCTTAGTTGGTTTTTATGTTGGATTTGTGTTTGTCATATTGCTTGCATTACTCTGATTCTGGACTCTGTGTGTGTGTTCTTTTTCAAAATTCTTGATTTGGTGTGCTTTTGCGTAGTTCCAAGCCCAAACTGAATTGATATTTGGGCCTATTGACAAACTTATTGGGAGGATTACTGAAGTTTATTCACTTATGGTATTTTTTATTTATTAAAAAGTGCTGTCATTGTTTCGTTGATTTGTGAAATTCTTTTCTTGTTTGTGATGTTATCTATGTTAGTGATTTGCCGTGTCACATAGAATGAAAATGTGTCCGTAGATGGTATAGACTTTGATGAGCCAATAAGTTGAGAAATAGTAATTGGTTATAGAATATTTTAGAATAAATTGTTTGAATGAAAGATGATAGGAAAAAAAAAAAATATTTTAGTAGCAATTTTAAAATTATGGATGTATGTGAGATAAGTAATGATACAAAGTGATTGGTATTGAATAATATGAGTAAGTATTAATTTTTATTTTTGAAATGATTTGAGAAGAAAAAATTTAATATTAGATGAGTAGTGCTTTTTTTTTTAAAAAAAAAAAATTGAATTCGTATTGTTGTCAGATTAATAAATTTGACTTGAATCTTAAGATATCCAGCACGAAATTAAATTGGCTAAATAAAAAATTACATGGGATTATGTATAAAAAAAAATTAAAAATAATGCTAGCATTTTTTTTAGAAGTCCGATAAAGATTTATCCGACTACAAGAAATTACATATCCCTGTAGTTTATATTGGAAATTACTGAAACCGATGAAATTTCCGGTGTTCTAAAAATTAGTCTAGGCGGTCGTCTAGGCATCGAAACGCGGCCCATATACTCGAATCGAACATAAAAATCGGCCAAGGCAAGCTCGGCGGCTGGGCGGGTTCGACGGGTCTAGGCGGTAGAAGGCGGGTCTCAGGATTTCGCCAATTTTTCAAGATTTTTTAGTAATTACAGAACGATGTCGTTTTGTATTAGTTCAAATTTAAAATAAATAAATAAATAAATAAAAAATTGGATGGGAAATCGACCCTCTAGTCACTATTCACTCAGGTATATTTTTTATATGGGATTTTTGGACATTATGTTAGATCACTTAGTTGTACATTATGTAATTAAGTATTCTTAATTTTAGATTTAATAAAACTTATTTGAATCTTATGTGAAATTGTTGAAATTTGGTGTTGGTTGCTATAATGCTATTATGGCATGTAATGGTTAAACCAGTGCTTTAGAAGTCGTTAGACGTCTGACCAACACCTAAAAATTTGTATTAATTATTATTTTCTTTTTTCACTACTCAAAAAATGAAACTATATCAACTTATAATAAATACAGAAACCTAAATCCAAACAATAATATATTATAACGAAAATTAAAAACATGATACCCACATGACCACAAGTATATTGGAATATAACAATCTCAAAACAAATTCCAAATCTAAATAAGTATAATCACTGCTAGTACAAGTATATAAACACAATCTCTAAATAAACTTCACGGCTCAAAACAACCCACATGATCAAAAAACACTACTAAGAACTTCTTCATGCGGCTCAAAGTCAATATCATTCTCATTAACTTGTTCTTCTTCTCGAATTAAAAATCTTCTTCCTCAAGCTCTCTCACTCTTAAAGTGTCTTCAAGTCCATTAAACCCCTCATCTTCATCGTCTATTATTAATCCCGGAATAATCTACCTTTGTGCTTTACTTGCCTCACTAGCAAGTAACACATATTTTTCTTTCCTCCAATTACGTTTGATTAATAAATGCAAATTGAAGTGAACATAGACTAGACCGTGAACATCGAGCCAATTTCTTTTTTTTCTTTTTTTTTTTAGTTTGTGTCTGGAAATTGTATAAAACTACATTATATAATATAAGTATGCCAATAAAATGACAACAGTCAAAAAATGTTAGGCTGTTGTTTTCTTTCTTCATTTTTTTTTTCTTTTTTTTTTTGTAAAAATGTAAATTTCCTAAAATGCCCTCAAAATTTTATTTATTTTTTAGTCAAATTACTTTTATATCAAATTTAAAGAGCATTTTGACAAACACGTATAATTTAAGTGGTGATTTGTAAAATTATATAATGATCTGCGAAAATCATTATAGTTCGAATGACAAAGTTTTTTCCCCCCAATTTAAACCATATTTCAACTTTTTTGGAACAAATTTCTAAATTCAAACCCACCTGTGGTTCCCCTTTTCCAATTCCAATATTACAATCACTGTAATAAGCATTCACCATAAGAGACATATTGTCACATTTTTAACGTCTTAAAGTAAAAACAACTTCACCACTGTCATAAACCATTAGCCACAAATAATCCAACGTCAAACACAAATAACAGCACTAGTTATATCAAGAAACAACTAAAACCAGTACTAATCCAGCACACACTACCAAAAAAGTTCAAAAACTAGTCAGATCCCAAGTTCTTAAACTAATAAAAACACAACCTTAATCCCCTTTAGCTACAAACCTAAACAAAAAGCATAACAAAATGTTCAACATATTCAAACAAAGCACTTATTCCATGTAAATTTCACTCCTTGGTTGTTTTGTTGATGAGTGACTTGTGAATATGAGGAATGACCCCACCACCGGCAATGGTTCCTTTGATGAGTGTGTCGAGCTCCTCATCTCCACGGATTGCCAACTGTAAGTGCCTAGGTGTTATCCTCTTCACTTTCAAATCCTTGCTGGCATTTCCAGCCAGCTCAAGCACCTCGGCCGTAAGGTATTCAAGAATGGCCGCGGAGTAAACAGCTGCAGTGGCTCCAACTCGTCCGTGCGCGTTGCTTCTTGACTTGAGGTGGCGGTGGATTCTCCCCACGGGAAACTACAAAATGTTTACTTTTATTATTATTTATTTCCTAATTTGAAAGAACAGATTTCAAGTTAATCACATAATTAAAAAGTTTATGTCTGGAATTATTCGAACAAGAACGAACTCGAACTTTGACGAACAATTGAACAAACTGAGGTATAACACAATTTTTTGCTCGAAAAATAAGCGAACAAACATGAACAGTGTTCGAACGTAAGCGAACACAAGCTCGAAATGCCCAAGCTCGACGCGCTCGGTTCGATACGACACTAGTCACAAGTGGCCAAAATAATCGTCACAAATTACACCAGTTTTGCTTTTCCAACTTCCATACTGACATACTGTTACCAACTTCTGCCAAAAGGTCCCCAAGGGAAGTATAAGCAGGCACAACCACTGCATACAAAATCAAACCAGAACCTTGCCTAATGCTTACACATAAAGATATTGCATATCCCATGTGAGCACGGATTTGCAACGCGGATCAAAAGCACAGTTATATAAAGTTCCACTTCTCAAATGCATTGATGCTTTGGAACATGCATCATAGTCATTATCATGAGCTGATTAATATTAACCTCAACCAACAATTAATAACACAGCAACTCTTTTGTTTCCAATAATAACATCACCAAATTCTATTAGAATACCAACTCAAGTAAGGTTTGACAACTCCATCTGATTACACTTGAGGAGCTCAAAACAGAGTAGAAAGAATCAGTAAGATTTAAATATTTCTAGTATCAGGTGAGATTTATACCTGAAGACCAGCTCGAGCAGAACGAGACATTGGCTGTTTCTTGCCCTTGTCCTTGTTTGCTGCTGCAACTGCCATTGTCTTCCCTGCCACAAGCCCCTTTCCACCTTTTCCAGCCATTTTTCTTCGTAACTACTGCGATTTCAGAAAAGATGAAAATAACACTAGCAAGTTAAATCACAAGCAAAACACAATTAAAGGCCCATATTAATAACAAATCCAAATATAATTGTTCTTGCCAGTTATTCAATTTATCAACCAACTGTACCGATTTTCACCACATTAACTAGCAGTTAGATTTACAGTGACACAAAATCGTCTGTGTGCATACTTTTTTCTTTTTCTTTTTTCTATTTTCAGTCATTTGTTGCTGCTGTTATCGATAACTAAAACCATCTAAAATTGATGAGGATAATATATAGATATATATTCATAAGGTTCCAAATTATTCAAAATCTGCCATAGATCGACTAACTACAGCATTTCTTATCTCTTTCGTCATTTTATCAATACTCGCAAGTCCTTAGTAACAGAAACACAAAACACACACACACACACACACACAAAACCCTAGATCTCAGTCAAATTCAGCAACAGATCTGACAATCTTAGAGTACAGCAAACGATACCAAAAACAAAAGAAATAAAACGAATCATTACATTCGCCATGAATGCTTAGCGCAAAAGAGCTAGAACTTGAACAAGCAAAAACAAAAATTAAATTCGACAAACCAAAACGCACCATGAATGCTTGAACCAAACGCAAAAGAACTCGAACATGATCGATTAAACAAAAAATAAAAAAAAAAATCAACAAACGAAAACGAGAAGAACAGAATTACCTCAAGAATTAGACAGCACCAGAGAAGAGCGAATGAAATCGGAAGTTCGAATTTCAGAGTATAAAATCGCTTGCTTTGGGTGAGAAAATTTATTGGCTTTTCCCGTGAAAAGTGTTTTGAAAGGTGGAGAGGGGTTTTGGCGGTTGGTTTTGAGTGGGCAAAAATGCGATTTCGAGGTAGGCGAAATAACAATCACGTTTTTTAATAGTGCAATCTATAATACATGGTGTTAATTTTTTAAAATTAAAACATAAATAAAGAAATATTTTTAATTTAAAATAATTGTATTTATATCATAGTTTTTAAACCCGGCCCGGTGATTGACCCGGGAAGGTCTCCGGGTCACCGGGTCACCGGTTCAACTGCCGGGTCACCGGGTCAATTGCTGAACCGGATAATTAATTTTAAAATTTTTAAAGTTATATATATATATATAGTATTTTGTCATAACAAAATTAAATGTTTTGTATGTAAAATTTGTATATTAAAGTGATAATAATATTTTTTTAATAATAAATATTTACCATATAAATATATATACATAGTTTTATTTTTAAAAAAATAAAAAAAAAATAAAAAAATTTAAAATATATGTAGGGACCGGGTCAACCGGGTTGACCCGGCCGGGTCAATGCCCCGGGTTGACCGGGTCAATGCCGGGTTGACCGGGTTTTGACCGGGTTTGACCGGTTCATTTGTTATTCGGTCTAATTAGCACACCCGGACCGGTTCTGGCTCCGGGTCGACCGGGTCCCGGATCGACCCGCCGGGCCGGTCCGGGTTGAAAAACACTGATTTATATTTTTATTTAAAATAACATTATTCATCCATATAACTTGACCGTCCTATATTATAGTAAGTTTTTCTAACTCACATATAAAATAATACTTAATTGATAAATAATATCTTTCTAACTAAAAATATTTAGTTAGGACTAGTAGATAATTTATATTTTTATTTACATAAGTAAATAAAATGTGGAGTAAAGTAATTAGAGTGAAGAGACTTATATCATGTCAAATTTCGTTTATAATTAAATAAAAAAAATGATTTCTACGTTAATTATTATGTTTTGTAAATTTAATATGAATGCACCATGACAAAAAAGGACGATAACTATTGAGGCTTAGAACATCACTGCATCACCAATGTTCTAATGTTGTTATAGAATAAATTTTGATGAATGTCAATAAAATTAATGAATGATGTACTATGTACGAAAAATATTAAGTCTATAACTATGAAATTAAAAAATGTATAGTCTAACTGTAATATTATTTACATACCAATTACTTAAATTTTATGATATGTAGTAAAAAAATTAATTAAAAATAACTAAATAGTTTGAAATTGGTAAGAATAACTATTTCCCTTCTCTTCATTAGAGTGTGGAGGAGAATGTGAATGAACCACATTCTTGTCTACATTGTTGACATTAATTATGTCTGCATCATCACAACATTTGTGATCACATTGTGCATTGGAGGATTAAAAGTTGTGACATTGCTATACATATTGATGTAGAATGTAATTTATCACAACAACATTTGTTCAGCATTTGAAATGCTCTTAGTTCTACAATTGAACCCCACTAAGTAACGTAGTATGTAAAACGGCTCATTAACACACCTCTTCATCTTTTGGAAATATTAGCATTAGTAGGATTGAAAAATTTTACTAGCATCCTTATTGATTATCTAACAAATATTTAAGACATGTATAACATCAGAAACAAGAAACGTCTGCGATCAAGTCCTCCATTGAAACCTATGTGACGCCGCCTTCCTGAAGCTCAATTGGAGCTCACCAAAAGATGCTCAATTGGAGGCCCTCACTTCTTCCAGCCGCGGGTTTGGCGAAGGCGGGAGGAGGGGGAAGGAAGGGATGGTGGTGATGTTCGGGTAAAAATTGACAGCGGAGGGGGATGTTGTCAGAGAAAGATGGCGGTGATGAGAGAGGAAAATGGCCGATAATTTTCAGAGGCCAAGGTGAATAAAAGATACAAATTAAAGTATATTAAAAGTAAATTACAAGTAAATTATATATATGAAATCTTATTGAAAAAATATACAATAGAACTTTCTTTTGTGGTGTTAAAATACTGTTATAAAAGAGCAACTTATGCCAAAACATATACAACCCAAAAAATATACAATTTATTTTTAGATTATTATAGGTCTATAGACTATATTTTTTTAATGTAATTTTATATCTAGTTTATTTTTAATTTATTATGGATTTATAAATCAATACAAAAATACTATGGTGATTTTAGTTATAGTTTAGTGCAGTTAATTATAATTTTTTAAACCAATATTCTTATACCGACAAAAATCATTCACAAAAGTACTCAAAATTAAACATAAAATACGACAAAACTACAAATAAAGGGAAGTAAAAATTATTAATATACATAAACCATGATAAATATCCAAAACAACATATACAATAATCAACCAAAAAAATAACAAATTTATCCTTTTGTTGTCTCATATCACTTTCATTGTCCTCGTCTCGTTTGCTAAAGGGGAACCCTTTCCTTAGACCGTCTCGTGATTTTTTTTTTTGGTAAAATATCATTGGGTTCGGACTGAAAGTCGTCGCCGGCGTCTGGGTTGGTGTTAATCATTCCATCACGGCATTTAATGCGCCTTCTAAATCCAATGGACTTCGTCTTCTTCCCAAATTGAAGAAATTTTTTGGCCACCCATTCAATTTTTTTTGGCCACCCTTATGACGGCGAAGGTGAAGACCTCTCTAAATGATATACTCCAAAAAAGTGCAACAAATGCACCACAGTCACTGCAAAAATAAAAAATGTCATTTTGTATACCAAACACCCACTTAAAATAAACAATACATAAAAAAAAAAAAAAAAGTCATACATCACCAGAATAACAACATTACACTACCTACAAAAAGTTAAATAAATAAATAATTCAATAATCTCACCAGTTTGGACCAACAACAGATAATCTGAGGCACTTAACGGGTTCCTGATTCGAGTCAGCAACCCGACTCTACCATAGATAACTGCTGATGGGTTTGATTCGAAATCAGCCGCACGACTCGCCTCATCGTTCACGACCGCCCCGTCAATATACAACACAAGCTTTCGTCCTCGATATCCAATAAGTAATGACAATTTTTTCTTTTCCCGCCTAGAATTTTGAGCATTTTTTAGTAAGTTTCAATTTATTTTTAATTGTGTACATGTCATTAATTCTGTAACAAATATCATAATATTCAATAAGAAGTTGTAAAGATTACGTTTTAGAAAATGATACAATTGTAATTTCTGTTATTCAGGCAAATGGCAAGTACTATTATATTTGATGTAACCGTGACAATATTTCAACGACACGTCTCTTATTATTATGATTATTATTAATATAATGCTCAACGTATATTAGAAATTGTATTATGCATTATATACATACAATAATTACCATTAATATATAGAAAATTCCACATTTATATTTTTATATTCTAAAAACTAAGCTACGATGTACTAATTAGTAAACAACTTAGTTAATATAATGTAACAATTCAATTATAAATGTTAGTGGTTTTATATAACACATATATAAATATATATAGGACTAACCTTTATGTAGCGGAAGCGAAAACTTGCCCGTATCTTTTATCCGACGGCTACTAGAGTCGTCGGTATCCTCCACGTTCTAAAACTCGAGCCGCCTTGATGGTTTCGGCTCAACAAGAGATATATGCACTTAAAGATTATTTGTTGTAATATAAACACCAACTCTTTTTCTCCTTCTCGTATTGTTGTTTTTTCATGATGCACAAAGCATCATATTTATAGTTGTCCTCATGCAACTATTAATGAAGACATAACTTCATACTTAATGAAGTCTTCAATGCCCACTTCATAACTCCATACATAATGGAGATGAAGTTGTAACAAAACCACATTTAAGTGGATGTTACCAATTGGTGTAACATTTCATCAATTAAAAACAATAATAAATGTGATACATATTATTGTAATCAATTATTTTAATTATCATATTTATATTAAAAATTTGTTATTTTTTAATTTAATCGGTTCATATTTTTTAATTTAATCGGTTCATAGGCATATAATTACTAGTTTACTAATTAAATCTTCCAACACAACATCATTGGCACTTAAATCAACTCTATTGGTAGGAAATTTCCAAAATGTGATGAAAAGGACAAGCTAGAAGTTGGTCGAAGTTGTACCAAAATGTGATGAAACTTTATGTTCCGTTAAAGAACCATTCTGTCGATGTT